ACACAAGTACCACTTTCTCATCTATGTGCAAACCGTTTCATTGCTTATTTTTACCAACTCCATGCATAATAACACTGAGGACAGTGTTGTTTAAGTCTGGGGGAGGTCGTTGCTGACATTGTGTACATTATTTATGATTTTTAGAGTCTCAAAGTTGAGTCAAAACCTGTTTTACTGAGTCAAAATTTTTGAAATTGTCAGTTTTTCTTGGAACTAACCACAAAACATTGATGCTTATAAGAACCATTGCCACAAATATTGATTACAAGTCTTACTAAGTTGAAAGTCATAGGTAGATCAGTCTAGCAATGAAGGTTTAGGTTTTTAGAGAATCTGGAAAATTTGCTGTTAGCTCCACTTTAAGGAACTTAAAACTTCTTGTCTTGGTGATTGATTCTCATTGATCTTGATTCTCTCTTCTAACACTGATAAGTATATTAAGACATAGTCTCTCTTTGATCTTCCCTGATATAACTTTAAAAGTTTGAGTCAAAAGAATGGTGCATTCTTGACCCTGTCTCCTCACAAGGAACAACAGTAATTAACACATTCAAGAACATGAAGAATTTTGCAGATGCTTTCATCGAAGAAACCAAGGAGGAGATGTTGATTTACCATAAATGCCAGCAGTGCAGTAGACAAGGGCAAAGATCATTGCCACCAAAAGCCCAAGCAATGCCTTGGATTCTAACAGAGGCACACATGTTTGGGGCTCTCTTCACTCCCATCACTGTCAGAACTGTGATGTACATAAAGAGGAACGTGGCTATGAACTCAGCGATCCCGGCTCTCCAGAACGACCATGAACTCAGCTCGCCTGGCTCGAACAGTGGTGCAGCTGGTGGTTCTTTACAAGATGAGTTCAAGGAACACAAGTATTGAGTAGCACCATATCTTAGGCTGTAAAAAATTGAGAAAGAGCTTAAAATAAAAAAAATTATCAGAAAGAAAAGATCAAGGGAAGGGAAAAGAATCTATAAGTGATTGAGATGATAAAACCTTGATGAGACATCACCTAGATTAAAAATATATATATATATATATAATTAGGAGTTTAGCAGTAGAGATTTCGGATTTCTTAAAGGAGCATGAATTGGATTTGAAAGATTTGCTAAGCCTGTGATGATTAGACAGAAATTTGATCTTGTGTTGACTATGTGGTATGGGGATTCGAAAGTGTAAATCAATGTGGTGTTCCTGATGTCTGGCTGACTTTTTCTTTGTTTTCAAACCTCGACCCTATGCTTTGTCTGATGTTTGCTTGGGGGCAAGCAAAAGATTAGTCTGGGGGAGTTGATATATCATTGTTTTTTCTGGTTTTTGACCATGATATAAGTCTTGTTTATAGAGTCTTTTTGGTATTTTTCGAGTCCTATAGAGTCTTTGCAGGTCTAGGTACGTTTGGAGCATAACTGTGAGTTTTAGAGCCTTTTGGAGCTATGTTGAAGCTGATGCTGAAAAGACCAAGTCGGAGAGCATTATGAAGCAGGGTGTCAATCGACACCCACCACATGGTGTCGATCGACACTGATCGTGGACGAGCGAAGAGCATTACTTGGCCCAGAAGTTTCTGATTATTTGCATATTACCCTAGTTCGTGTTTAGACTTGTATTTAGGTTTTATAAGCCGTTGTTAGGCAATCATCTTGTTTTCATTGAGACCTAAGAGAGAGATTTGATTGAGAGCTTTTGGGGAGACCAGTCCATACTCTGTAGAGAAGAATTTCGAACCCCCTTCATCTTTTACTCTATTTCTTAATACAATATTATTCAGTCATGATTTGTGTTTCACTTGCTATGTCTAAGTAATCTGCTAGTTTGGTTTTGGGTTATTCAAAGGTTGATAATGGATTGTTAGAACTACAAAACTGAAGGGATAAATCATTTGGTTCTTCATCTAGATTGCTTTAACACTGATTTTAAGATTGATCACCTAGAAATCAGATCTTAGGTTGTTTAATAGATGTGGAAACATTGTTAATCAGCAGAACTATCTTAGATGAGCAAAATAACTGATTGCAAAGAAATTTGGATTAATAATTATGTGAACTTATCGAACCTGAACTATAATGCTTGCTTAGGTTGTTAGAATTTGCAAAGGAATTTGGAATTCTAGAATCTGATCATAGTAAATCTCTGCGATGGAAGTCGATTGGTTTTATATCCGTGTTTTTGAGTTCTAGAATGGTTTTAATAAATATTCCTTTCAGTCTGTAGTCTGCGATTTATGTCAACCTGCGAATTTCCCATTGCCTAGCGACTTGTCTCTATTGATTTTAAGAACCTATAATCTGCCCCTGTTCTTGTTATTTTCATTTGCTATTTTAGTTTTATTTGTTATTGACTGCTTAGCTTCATTTGAATCTAAAATCTGTTGAGTAATAGTCTTAAATCTTTGTGGATTCGATCCCTACGTACTACAGTGATCTCTTAATTTGAGAGAGTAGCTCTAAGGGTTAATTTGAGCATATCAAATTTTGGGCCTTGGCCAAAATTTGATATACTCAATGTGATTGCATCTGCTGGAATCCTGGTGTTGAAATTCCCATTGCTAGCAGCATCTAGAGCCATTTGGTACCTCCAATCAACGCTCCTGAAGAAAATGCCATGCAGTTGTACCTGATTGAAACCATGATGTGGACAGTCCCTCTGATATGATCTGAACCTCAACCAAGGAGTCTTCAAAGCTTCAACTGGTCCTTGAGAGAAGGAGGCAATTTTCGTTCTGAACTCTTCAGACCTTGCATCATCAAAGAAGTTGTTGAAGAAGGTGTTCTTGGTGTCCTCCCAAGTAGTCAGCGATCCATGCCAAATTCTTGTTATGTTTCAAAAGATATGCGCCATCAAACCACCTACTCTGAACCGTGTAACACTCTCACACCGAATATTACATCACTATCCCAGGCTTCACAGAATTTCTCTTGAGGATCTTGTGTGAAACAGGAAATAGCATTCCTAAGCTTTGCAGTTCTAAAGGTGGAGAAGAAATTTCCAACGAAAACAGCTTTGCATTATGCCTAAGAAGTAACTGATCCTGTAGGCAATTGCGTTTCCCAACCATGAGCTTTATCACCAAGGGCGAAAGTAAATAACCTAAGTTTGAAAGCATCTTCCGAAACCCCATGCAGTTGAGTCAAATTGTCAAACTCATCAAAATGAATTAAAAAGTCCTCTGTTGACAGCCCATGGAACATGTTATTCTGCACCATGGCAATGATGCCACTCTTGATTTCAAAGTTTACATCTTCTAAAGGTGGTGGAGATATGCCGAAATGAGTTGTGTGGTAGCCAGGTTTATCTCCTGCTCTAATGATCCTTGGAGGAGTATTTGCAGCCTTTTTTGTACCTGAAACAGAACTCAAGTAAATGAGTCAATTACTATAACAAAATAAAGGGCTTAGTCTCACAGAAATCATAATCTCAATGATCAATAATCTCTAAAGGACAATGGCGCCAAATTGATACATTAGTTTTTACACTTTTGTGACTCAATTCCTTAAGTTTTATGATCATGTCATTGCAGTACTTAAGGTACCAATCTAATCAGGGAATCGAAACTGAGAGAATACATGAATTCTAGTAATAGCTAATCAAGAAAAGGGTTTATAGTTAACTAACAACCTAATGATCAATCAAACAAGCAAAAGAAAGCATTGAACCAAAATGTATGACAATAACTTAAAGATTCAATACTTATGAAACATAGCAATTCAAAGAAACAGAAACATAGCAAAACAAAGTGATGATCAAGCAAATTCATCAACATGTGTGTCGGCTTGCTCCGGGGTGTGTTGGCTGGTGTGGTATCCTCAGAGATGCTGGTCGATCTGCTCCGAGGTGTGTTGGCCGGTGGGCTGCCTGGTGAAATTGTTTCTTCTTGCTTCTCTTCCCTTGGCTCTCTTCCATGCATTCACTTGAACTCCATTTGATCAACATCAACATGTCTTCAAAGCTCCATAATACCTGAAATACACTCCAAATACAACAAAACATGTATTCCTAATTCTAATGCACATTAAGTCTACTATGAATGCAAATGAAACATTTTTGACTATAAAATAGATAATATGCCATGAAAAACTATGCAAAATGAGATTAAAATGTTGCAATTATGCAACCTATAAGTAAGTTAAATATTTATTAATGTATAAAGTAGTAATACATATCACAAGATTTTGTTTGTGAAAAAATCAATAGTACAAGAAAAAATTCAATTTGCAAGAAAATAAACTCGTTGCATGTTTGCAACAGATTTGCATCAAAGATGTTACACTACTACAAATCATCACAAATTCCTCCCAAGTATGGGAGAAACTTAGTCGTTGCACATCCATCACAAATTTATAATAGATTTTTAAAGAAAATGTGAAAGTAGTGAATTCTCTCGTAACTTCATTGCACTTTAAAGTAAATAGCAGTGAAATCTTCCTCGTAATTTTGCAAGAGATTATTTACGATTTTCAATTAGGTAGAAAACGGTTTACATGATAAGTGATTACCTAGTTGCGAAAAATAGTTTTTGTCACATATTTTAATTGCAAATTTGTTGCACATCGACCACAAATTTTCATAACAAATTTTTAGAAAATATTTTTTTAATTCTTATAAGTAGAAAAGGAAAAAAAAGTGAAAATCACAAAAATAAACATTAATAAATCATCGCACAAAAAAAATAAAATAAATTGAAAGATAAAATTTATTTACCAGTTTTCACAGTGCTTACAAAGTTTTTACGGATAATTTTTTTTTTATAAAAAGAGCTTTCATATTAATTGCATGAGAAAAGAAAAATATTATAAGCCACATGAGCTATAGTGTTTTCTGAGCAAAAGCCCAATATATCATTAAGTCTAAAAATTTAAACTTAAAAATCTTAAATGAACCCAGCCCAAAAACTAAGAACCCATCGTCACCAAATAGAAGAACAGTCGTCACCTGGATAGAAGAACTACACCGAACCAACGATAATAGTGAGAGAAGATTTACAGTCGTATGCAAAATCACTGAGATAATTCTGTCGAAAGCCATAGTTGGAGTAGCTGTGAGGAGAGAGTTGGATTATTGGCCCTATAGCTTGCAATTCTGTTACGAATCTGACGGTCAATGAGAAGGAAGATCCCATCATAGGTACGATAGATTTGCTGGTGTAATCGTCCGTTCCGCTCATTCCAAATCCAATAGATCGAAGCTTGCCATCCCAGAAGAGTGAGCCGCTTCGTCAGTTTACTGCCCGTGAGATTCTGCATCTGCAACATCGAACAGCTCCAACCACGACAAGGTTGTAAATTGCATCGGCGAGCTACTTTCTCCTAAATCGACCAGCTGAACACACAATCAAACAGGAGATGATCTCTGCTCTCACTAAATGAGTTACATAGCAGGCATAAAGGATCCGTAGCTAGCCCCCGTCCAATAATACGGTCCTTCGTCGAACACCGATTCATAACAAACAACAACTAAGCTAAAAAGTTGTGCTTTGGGATGCCTCCTACATTCCAGATTACATTATCCTAAGGTACCAGTTCTGATTCCTCTCTTAATTTACCATATATCTGACTTATACTGAATTTGGAGCTCACTTTCCCATCTATTTCCCATTCATAATAGTCTTCCTCTCCTGATAGGGAAATAGTGGACAAGTAAGCTTGCAGATTAACTTGATTCTCTGATCGTGCAGCAGGCAAATGGCAAGACCCATGATTTTACAGATTCGAAAGGATAGCTAACTGAGATATCCCTAACCTGTTATTCTGATTTCCTTGAAGATAGCATTCAAGATTTCCAAAAGGGGACCAGTTGTCAGACAGAACCTACACTTACGACCATTTTCCACCCGCAACTTGATCCACGGGTAAATATCATCTCTCACCTTAAGCAGTTTGTTTGCAAGCCACGACCAATTCCTATTCGTTTTTGCAGTCCAAAAGATGTTCAGCGAACCTTTCAACTCCTCTCGCCTATACCAAGCTACACAAACAGAACCAGCTTGGAAGAAAAGCAGCCAGGTTAACTTAAAGCATGAAGCACGGTTCCAGGTAAACAAGTCCCGAATTCCCAAACCTCCTTGGCACTTTGATTTTGTAACTATCTCCCATGAGACCCTAGCAGAGTGATGACTTTCAATATTTCCTTTCCACAGGAACACGCTACAAAGCGAGTTGATGCGCTTAATGCATGCCTTTGGGAGGATAAAGGAAGAGCATCAGAATGTTGTAATGCCAGAAACCACAGTTTTGATAAGTAGGAGCCTTTCTGCTAAAGACAATGACTTTACACTCAAAGAGGTAACCCTTGATTTGACTTGGTGGATCAACATTTCACAGTTACTGATGCTTAGTTTCTTGGTACATAAGGGGACACCTAGATAGCGCACAGGGAGTGATCCTTGGGGCATACCAGTAGAGAAAGAGATGAGATTAGTTTCAGATTGAGAAAGTCCAGAGGCAAAGTAACTTGATTTCTGAACGCTTACAGCAAGACCCGATCTCAACTCATATTCATGTAACACTTGTAGCACGTTCTGGACGGAAGTCAATGAGCCCTCGATGAAGATCAGGAGATTATCAGCAAAGCATAGATGGGTGAGCTTGGAGCTAACACAATTTTGATGATAGGTAAATCTTCCCTCCTCAGCTGCCTTATTTAGCATTAGCGAGAGAGTTCATAGCGATAACAAATAGATAAGGAGATAGAGGGTCTCCTTGCCTTAGACCTCTTTTACCTTTAAAATACCCTTGCACTGTCCCATTATAGCCTACTGTAAAATTTGTTGTGCAGATACAAGCTTTGAGCCAGCGGATATATTGGGGTGGAAGCAGGAATCCCTCAAGGCAGTTGAAAAGAAATTCCCAAGAGACACTGTCAAACGCCTTGGCTATGTCTACTTTAATGGTAATTTTTCTAGGTACTTTTCCTTTATGATATCCATTAACTATTTCTCCAGCTAGAACCGTGTTCTCAACTAGTAACCGGTCCTTAACAAATGCTGTCTGATTAGGAAGAATCAAAGAAGGGAGCAGGGGCTTGAGGCGGGACACCAGGATCCTTGAGATCACCTTATACAAGGTATTAAGGCATGAGAAAGGTCTGTAGTCAGTAACTAATGAAGCTTCAGGGCGCTTTGGAACTAAAGAAAGGATTGTTGAGTTAGTGGAAGCAGGCATGAAGGCAGAGTGGAAGAAGTGAGCTATCGAGGAGGTGACTTCAACTCCTAAAATGTCCCAAGCTGCTTTGTAGAAACCAGAAGAAAACCCATCAGGGCCTGGAGCCTTGTTTGGGTTCAATTTGAAAAGGACTCCTGTAATTTCATCCACCGAAGGGAGGATTAGCATCGCTTCTTGCTTGGAGGAAGAGCACCGAAAGGAGGACAAAGACTGAAACCATTCTGTAGGTGAAGCAATGGCTGGAGCAGGGAGGATATCTGGTCCTAGGATGGACTTGAAGTGCTTAATATCATGAAAGCTCATCTCCAAAGGGTCAACCAATACCACTCTCGAGCTCAAAAGGAAGGATCTGATGGCGTTGTAGCTTGTGCGAGTTTGACAGACCCGATGGAAGTAAGTAGTATTAAGATCTCCCTCCTTGAGCCAATTTATTCTCGATTTTTGCCTGAAGTAGCACTCCTCAATATGCCTTAAGAAGTTCCATTTTTCATGAAGAGCATGCTCTTGCTGGAAAAGAGTGGTGGTGGGCGTCTGAAGAGCTTGTACCTGCACATCTTGCAACAAACGGTTAGCCTCACTTACTCTCTTTTGTATTTGAGAAAAATTCTCTCAATTTAGCTCTTTAAGCGCTCTCTTTATGGTCTTTTGCTTCCAACACAGTTAAGTGAGATTAGACCCAAAGCTTCCGGCCTGAATCCAAGCCTCAGGCAACACACTATGAAAGTCTGAGTGTTTGGTCAAGTAGTTGAAGAATTAGAAAGAGCGGATACCAGCTGAAGGGAGCTGATGGGCAAGGTCAATAAGGCAAGGGCTATGGTCGGAGGTAAGAGGAGGCAGAAAGGTGGCCGCACTGTTGGGGAAGAGATCGATGATATGACTGTTTACAAGAAGACAATCAAGCTTTTCCGCAACAGGAGAAACAAGCTACCAGTTTGACCAAGTGAACAGAGGCCCCTAATATCGTAGATCAAACATTCCCATCTAAGTGATTAGAGGTAAAATTCAACCCAGGGTAAAGCGTAGACATAAGCAGGTTCAGATTAAGATCTTTAATATGAAATTCAATTATAGTACCAAAAATAGGTTGGTGGCTATTAAGCCACTGACTAAAAGGCCGATGCTTGCTCGGGTCATTTAAACCACGAACATTCCAAAGAAATAGTTTAGTACACATTAGGAAGAAAGAGAAGATTCCCCTAAGGAGGGAAAATCTTTAGGAACCGAACCCGAAGAAGGAAAAAAAGGAATAGTTAGAGAAGATTTAGAAGTAGGATCAATATATGGTAAAGAAGATTTAAGAGAGTATAGCAAAAAGTTTGACCGAGATCTTTTTAACGGTTGTTTTACTTTTGTGTCAGGAGGACTATAAGGATAAGGCTCTCCAGATGGAGTTATGAAAGCTGGGAGACCAACAAAGTAAGGGGGAAAATCAGGAGGAAGAGGCGGAAAAGAAGAAGAACGAGACACGGAATAAGGAGGTGGGGTTGAGGAATTTTTAGAACTGAGAGCAGAGGCACCATGAGAAGGCGAGATAACAGCTTGGTAAGGGGCAACAGGTGAGCAGGAGCCTGAGGCTTTGATCGGAGGGGCTTCAACAGAGTTAATCACCGTAACATGAGTAGGGCCATTAACCGAGGTTGAAGCACCTAGAGGTAATGAACTTTCTGCTAGTTTATCCTTAGAACCAGATGATGGTTTACACCCAGAAACCTTTGTTTTAATTCCTTCCCTTGAAACCCGTTGAGGAGGAGGCAGTTGCAAGCAATTACGAGGTATGTGGCCCAACTCTTTGCAATGAGAACAAGAAGGAGGGAGCCAATGATAATCCACAAGGACTTCAGCTACTTCACCACTTTGCCGTTCAAACTCTACAACTCGAGGAAGCTCCTTGGTAATGTTAACTTTAACTTTCACATGAGAAATGGTTAGACTGACGAGATTTTTTGTGAATTCATCCGTTTCAATTGGCTCACCAACCAATCCCGCTACTTAGCTAAGGCCTTTCTGATGCATATGGTCCAGATGAATGCCAGTAAGATGAGCCCATAATTGGATAGACTCAGGGGGAGGAGCAGTAGACGAATAGGAAGAAGTCCACTGAGCCACTTCGAACATAGAGTCTCCAACATGCCAACGAACTTTCTCTAGAATCTTTGTCCGCAGGTATTCACTTTGTATCCGAACAAGCATAGTTCTGTTTAGGGGGTTGTTGTGAATCTCTAGTTTGTTTCCTTTTCCCCACATATGGTTGAGGACACTTTGAATATGATTGTAGGAAGGTGGTCTGCCATTAAAGTAGCACACAATAAAGTCTTTATGCAGTTTCTCTCCCCGCTTGAAGACCTCATCAGGGATGATAATCCTGGGCCTACCTGTGTCTGAGAAAGATATTGGAGCAAGCCGTTTCAAGGATCTATCTTCAAACATCCTAATTCTTTCAGCCAGAGAAGGAGCGTCGGTAGTTTGATTGACGACTGGGGCGCTGGCAGTTTGTTTGACAATGGGAGCACTAGGTTGTTGAGCAGTTTTGGGCACATAAACATTAGTAGCCACAGTCGGAGAAGAAGTTGTGTTAAGAGCTTTGTTCGGCTTAAGAGGAGAAGAAGATTTCGGTTTCAGAACAGAAAAAATTTCTGGAACTGTAGTTTCAGATCTAGCTTTTGGAGAGCTTGATTCTGTAACTTCTACGGAGGTAGTTTCCAAATGTGCCATCTCGACATCAGTAGTTTCGGTAGCAGTAAATTTTACTAGAACAGTAGTTTCAGATCTAGTTGTTAGAGATCTAGATACTGCAGCTACTGGAGAGGGAGCATCAGACTGTGCCATCTCGACATCAGTAGTTTCAGTAGCAGGAAGAATCTGGCCAGAAGCCGTACCCACATGCACCTTAAGTGGAGCAGTACATGGGAAGAAAGATCTCTGGTTTGTCGGTGAGGTTAAAGGTGGGAAATGGGAAAGTGGAAAGGTGGCTGAAGGATCAGGAGGGTCTGGAGGGACAAGGAGAGGGAGAAGGAGACTATCACCAGTGGTGAGAGGCGGATGATTCAGGGCGGAAGCACGACCATTAGAGAACCAGCGGTTCTGCATTGGGAACCAGGTCTGAGAGGATTAGAACTATTCTATAAATTCATAGCTTGTTTCTTTTCTTTCTAAGTGTCTATGTCTTTATCAAAAAAACTCTTTCAGGATCCGTTTTTATCCTCTTTTGATTTCACACGAGATTTGCACAAACCGGACTTTGCCCAAAATCTGCACAAACCGATTTTCTGCAAACCGAATAAACACCAATTTTGTACAAACCGAATTCGCCGCAGATCAGCTTCTCTGGATGCTTGGAACACCTACGATTCTGCACAAGTTTTGCACCCGTCGGATTCTTCACGTCACTTGAAAAGATCTGGCAACGCCCAATATTCACACAAATCTGATTATGCACGCTTTTCGCACAATCCGAAGTTTGCACTAAATCAAAATTTAGACCAATCTGACTGCGCATGGATTTTGCGCGCATCAGATTTTTGAAAGAACCTTTTATGAAGACAAAGTCCATAACATAAACATCATCTTCATAGACGTCGTAGATCGGATCGCCATAGATCTCTCTGTAGATCTTCTGGTTCTCTTCTCTCTCGACAAAAGGACTTTCGTCCTCGAAAGTGTAGATGCAATCACTCACTATGATCCAAAATCGTTCTTCGATTAAAAAATCAAAAAGACGTAGCTCTGATACCAACTGATGGAGCAGAATCTACTACGAATAAAACTAGATCCGTTGATTCTAAATATATCCGGAAACTAGGGTTTGTGAATATTCTTCACATTGGTTTATCAAAACCTCTTTTAAGAAATCTCATTTTATTAATTAATCAAACTCTGAATAATACAATAAGCCTAAACGGCTATTTATAATAATAGCTAGAAAATCCTAAAAGCTATAAAATAATAATTAAATAACTAATATAAATAATATATAAATATTTAATTAATATATTACATATACGCTGCATCAGGGGGGATCTAGAGTCTTGAGAATGGTTTGAATAATGAGGATCTCTTCTTATGAATGTAGGGTGGAGATTAGTTAGGAGATATGGTCTTTGGTCTTCATTTATCCTTAAAATAAGATAATTGGTTTCAAGAAAGAAAAGCTTCTTTTTTGGTGCAATCTTCTTTGACTTCTGATGAAATGGGATGAATGTTGACTTGATCTGGTCGTGTAAGCTTCTGTGGATGTGAGGAAAGGCGAATATAATGTTTTAGGTTTGACATATATCCAAAGTTTCCATGTATGGTCTGATATATGTACATGTAGGTCCATTTATGAGAATGATTGGTTCTCTCTTGGTTTGATTTGAATGGCTTCGGTTATTGGCTTGGTTTGATGTCTCTGAATACTCTTCTAGCTTCTGTGGTGGTCGAGTGAAAGGTTTGGTTGCATAAAATGCCTTGCTTCCCCTAGTTTCCTTAGTTGGCTCCAATGTAGGTCCATAAGCATGTTTTGGTATCTTCTTTGTTTGATATCGGTTCTTTTCCATTTTAAATAGAATCAGTGGCGTCTTGGGTTGTATGAGATGTCTTTCTTGATGTATAAATCCTCCTTGATACGTTTCATAAGGTGGTAAGCTTTTATATCCTCCATGAGCAGCCATAAGCCTTCTCTCTCCTTGGTTTATAAGCATGTATAGCTCCAAGTCAGCTTCTATATAGCTCCTCTTCTCTGGTACAGCTAGCATGGTACTGATGTTCACATCAGAAGGTTATGTTGTATACTTTATGAAGGATGTAATGAATAGTAGTATAAGTTGTCATTGGATGATAACAATTAAAAGTTATCATAATTTAACTGAGATTTATTGGATTTGTGGGCTGAACTATCCAAAAAGTATTTGTGATTAGATAACCTGCCTATTAAATATGTACAAAGGTTGGTTGCGAGTCTGAAATTTCCATGAGAAATAATTCAGGTTTGCATTAATTATTGCATGATTCTTAAACTGAAGTCTTTAAAAAAAGTTTTTTATTAAGAATTTGTTAATGTTTGCAAGGGATTTGCAAAGATTGTATGGAACCTTCGGGGCCATTTGGATTTGGGCTGTATGTTGGTTTCGGTTCATATGAAATATTTGGGGTTGATTAGTTTCAGGACTTGTAGTATCTTCGGATCATATGAAACCTTTGGGGTCGTTTGGCTTTGCAGCGTATGAGATGTTCGGATCGTAAGTGGCTTTAAGCTAAAAATGTGTAAAAATGGCTAAGTATATGAAAATGGCTACGTACAGTATATGAAAATGTCTAATTAAGTAATATGAAAATGGTTAAGTAATGAGAACGTAAAACAGATAAATAGGTTGCTAATATGTATTATATATAGCTTGGTGGAATTATTCGTATATTTTGTTTGAATGTAGGCAAATATGATCGTTTTTTATTGGGGACTAGTTGATTGAACTGGAAGGCGAGACTGTAGAGTTTTGTTGGTTATCTCATCAAAATGGTATTAGAGTTTCTGAACATCATGATTTTGGTCCAAAAATAATTTCATTAAGTCTCGATATTTCACTCTTCATTCTGAATTCATACATGAACCAGTAAACAGTTCCTTAAAATCCCAAAAGTAGATATGAGTTTTGTTTCATAAAAGATAAACATAATCGACCTTATAATATATCTAACTTGTATAATAGACAATCTAATGTACATATAAATTGGTACAATTAGTCAGAAACCAAAAAAAGAAACACTATCCTCACCTACTCGTATATATCTAACACTATCCTCACCTACTCGTATATATCTATGTAACATCTTGCTTTCTCCCTCTACCTTAATCAAACTCACGAGGTTGAACATAGCCCACGAACCAAATGATCTAACACCACGTAACATTTTTCTATAAATAAAATAGTGGGGACCGTCGGACCTATAAATAAAGGATTCACGTGAAATATACTTTATTTGGGAAAAAAAAAAACCCACGAGTTTATATTGAAGAAGATTCATTGTGGAATAGTGTTAGGTTAGGTAAGATAAAACCATATATTTGGCAGTCTGAGTTTGGACCTGTTGAAAGATCCCAATCCGCAATAGATTTTCCACTGACCCTCTCAAGAAGACATCCACTTTGGTGTAATGATTCCACATTTGTTCATTTTAAGAAACATTTTAATAGGAATACATAATGAACTATATACCCTTTTAAACCCCATGATTAATTTACTTCAAACATGAATCCAAATCAAGGGTAAAAAATGAGTGAATGAAATAACTTTGGGGTTTAAGAGAGGCGGTTCTGCTTCTAATTCAGGATTCTTCCTTGTAGCTCTGAAAATTTTTGGATCCGGGAAGGAAAATGCGAATATGGGACGGAAATCAGAGATTTAGGAATTGAGAAATGATTCACATAAGGAAATCCGACAAAAATAGAATGGAAAATTGCGGGTAGCGGATAAGAACCTGCAGGTATAAAACAAACGAGAAATTTGAGAATTGAGAAATAATTCCCATTAGGGAATTCGATAAAAATATTATGAGAAATTGCAGGTACGGAACGGGAATCTACGGGTATGGGACTTCAACGGGAATCCCAAACTCTCAACTTATGGATATATATTTTGGGAAATTTTGAGAAATTTTGGAAAATTTTAGTAACTTTCGGTAAATTTTAGAAACTACGTAATATTTTGAAATTTTAATTGTTTTAAACGGGAATTCGGATATCCAATCTGATTCTTTTACCATTTTCTTACCCGTTTGAGTAAAATAAATGGTTTCAAATGTAAATTTTTTAACCAGAAAAGAGAATGGAAGGGAAAAATTTTCAGAGCTATTTCCATGAACTAACCGCCAAAAAGTAACATTTACTCATTTTGATTGTCGAGATTGAGGACAAACAACCTAATGATGAAAAAACTACCGTTAGATTGTGACAATCAATGCACACACACCCCTTACTTTTATATTAAGCAAATTTATCTAAGTTTCTCGCGCTTACTTCATTGTTCGACATGTACAATGAAGAAAAAAAATTGGAGTTGGTGGATCCAAACACAAGGAAAGGTCTTTGTTTTTTTTTTTTGAACAATGAAAGGTCTAGATGATAATCCTGAAAAGAAGATGTTTCATTTGACGTTATGTTTGCTCACTCTTGGAAGGAGTGCCAAACATGGGTTGATAAGGATTTCAATTTGGTTTTAGAGCGGTTTCTCTTGGTTTTCCGATATATAATTACAAAGATCAAAGTAAAACCTAATAGATATATATTAAAGATTGTTTGATGCAAATTTGGTTTCAGTTTGGATTTAAATTTTACTGAAATACAAACATAATGTTTAAAGAAACTTTAGTTTTTTATATCATTTTTCTCTTTTCGATTCGGTTCAGTTTTAGTTTTGGGTTATTGGATATAGAAAAATGAATTCACGTAAATTTAAAATCCGGATCAACAATACATCCAGTTTTTGGTTTTGGGGCCAGTTATTTGGTTCGAATGGGATCGTTAATCCGGATTGAACAACCTTATTGGAAACTTCTACTTGTTTGTATCCCTCACTAAAAGAAAAAGCCCTTCGAGGTACTTTAATGTTGATTTTATACACAACGTATTACAAAGCATTTGCAAATCTTGGATCCCCGACAAATATTTTTAATAATTCTTTGGTAAAAGGTGAAAGAATAATCGGCTTTGTGCCACCACATGGCTGCATTCAGTATTTATACAGAGTTGGTCTGAGCTGTCATACCTGAGACTGTGCAGGCAGCTGAATACTTTACGAGAGGAAAGGCAGCCGAATCCGAAGCCTTTTCCACCTGCCACGGGACAGGGACGGACGCAGGCCTAGTATATGTTCTGGCATGAAGTCATGCTGTGTCAATATACACACCAGTGGAGGTCTCTGCGAAAGTGTCACAAAAGTATTTGATATGATCAAAGTAGAGAATTGCATACTCGACAACAAAGCAGAAGAGAACCAAATGATGGTTCGAGTTCCCCAAACTCTCGTAAAGCCTAAAAGGCTCCCAAACAAACCAATGATCAAATTTCAAAAAGACTCTAATATGTTATTCTCCCTTTCACCTAATTATACTATTCCTTTATTCTACCAATATAAAATAAGAATCTCATTTTTTAGTGCTTATGAGGATCAAATAAGGTGATAGTAACAGACAAGAAAAAGAAGAAACCAAGATCACTTACATTGGAGATTTTTGGTATGACAAATAAGTGCCTTAGACCAACCTCATGGAAGAGAACAAGGGCTTTTGTGAGTGACATTATCTCCAAAACAGTGTAAGGAGAAGCATCAGAGAATGGATGTAAATCCAGATACATATTCAACTCTTCCTCGCTTAATTCCACATCTCCTATTCTATCTCCCCTCCAGAACCCTTCTTAGCAAACTCATCTGTCTTGAATTGGGCAAGGGTATTGGAGTCAAAAGCCATTGAACTAGACAAGAATACTCGTTTCTTTAGCAAAGTCAGAATATGATCCCGGAGGATTAAAGCATATTAGACACGAGCTGAAGCGACTGGCGGCCCGTCAACCACAGGGAAAGCGTTATGATTGGTGGATTTGAGAACATATACAATAGTCGGGATTTTCTCGATGCCATTGAAGACTTGAAGCGGGCCTGTGACTACAATACCTACTGTAAACTGCCTCATGTAAGGTAAGGCTCAACATGGTTGCAAAGGTACGGCAACCTTTTTATCTTTATGATAAGGTTATGTATGTTGGCATTGAAGTAGAGGTACGACAACTTTTTTATCTTCATGATAAGGTTATATATGTTGGCATTGAAAGCATCAGCAACTGTTTTAGAAATCAGAAGGACGACCATCATCATAGGTAGTAGTAGCAGATTATTATTTAGCTCATGGAGAATAACACACAAGGAAACTGTCATCATCATTGATCCCCCAAGAAATGATGCAGCACCGAGCCCAGCAAAGGATGCTCCTGTTACAATAACGGGTTTGAACCAAGCATCCTGACAAACCCGTCCATAGGATGCTCCTGTTACGATAACGGGTACAAAGAGCCCTGCTGGTGCAACAATGCCATAGCTGAGGATACTGAGAAAGAAACATGTAACGAAATATAAAAATACAAGAGCCGAAAGATAATGGAACTCGAGGTCGGTGTTTTTGCTGGAAAGGTTTTTGATGGCATCGTCATCTTTGTTGAAAATGAGGCTAGCTAGATCATTGTAGTGACCAGGTGGGCATTGGTAATTCTTAAAGTTGTAGGGCACTCCTTTAAGGCACTAGCAGGGCAAGGTTGGCATGACGTAAGAAATGGTAATCCAAAAAGAAGGCAGGACGTGAAAATCGATATTACGCAAGTGAGAATGATTTTACAAACAACCTCTTTCCTGGACAGAAGACAATGTTGACAATCAAGATATTATTTACATACGAGTATACAAATACATATTTGTGACTTACTCATATGTAAGTAGTTGTATTATAAATTTATCAAAAAATATATAGCTTACTCATATATGTGGTTGTAAGCTCGCAGGACCTTCTACAGTAGAAAGTTGTAAAAACTTCCTAAAATACCACCAACAACTCCAAGGAGAAGAACAGGAAGTACATCTGCAAAATGATATGAAGCATTTTTGAATAGACATCAAACATTATTAAGCCTCCTTTACCAAATAGACCACACTTTTTACTTAAACACACATCGATTAGAGCCCAGAAGACAACTTCAACAACAGCTGTTGAAAAGAAGATTCTCTATAATAAAGCACTCCTCCACCTACAATGAAACAATTCTTATACTAGCTTGAGCAAATCCTACCAGCAACAGTATGCAAAACATTGAACTCAAGATAACTTGACGTGCCAAGATAACATCTCTTCGAGCGTGAATAAGACACCACCTACCTGAGCACGAAAGGAGGCAGCAATACCAGCAGCTGAGCCACAAGTTACAAGATCTTTTTTGTCTCTGTCATTGTTGAAAAATCTGAGCCATTTCCTGGTCAATCCATATATGTTGGAACCACCTTGACCAAGTATGGATGCAACACAAGCACCGGTGTGCACCATTGGCCTGCTTTACCTATGAGAGAAGAAACTGAAACTGCAGATATGTTCCCAATGATCTTTATCCCAAAAAAAAGAGAAATCAAAACAAATTTCCAACATAAACTTGCACAAATTTTAAGCTCTACTGCTCTCCAAAGTGCTTACCTTAACGACCATAATACGAATTGAGAATATCTCTGGTGCATCTACACCGTTCAAATAGGCCTTAACCTCCGGTATACCGGAATCTGCCGCAGCAGGCGCAACAAAGGCGGTAATCACCGACGCAAAGAGAGTAAGAACCATGTTTGTCATAGTGAAAACGATAAATCCTATACTGAACCTGTGAGATAATTTTATCTCTCCGTTCAAAGCCAATCATTAACATTGCAAATTTACAAACAAACATCGAGAAATTGGGAGGAGCAGAGTCACCTTCCGGTCAACATCATGTTAGAAGTAATGATGAACTTTACACCAGCAGGATTCACGAGGGCGAGATTGTTGGCGAATCCGATTAGATTAACAATAATTCTGATAAAAAAACAAAGTAGCGATTTCATAAACACGTACTGAAAAATCTGTGTCTTACTACGAGCTCTCCAATCCTGCTTCAAGAAATCATTCTCTGCGATCCTAAATCGAGTAATCAAACAAAACTAAGGCCAAGTAAACAGAATATGGAATTAGGGAAGAGGAAGCAATGATTAGGAGTTATCAAACTCGTAATCGAGGCTTTCGATTGGATAGACGTTGGAACCAACGATGGCGACTTGAGAGGAAGAGCTTGTAGCGTGGCAGAGGAAGGGAAGTAGCGAAACGGCGACAGAGACCTCCTTTATGGAGTCTGGAATCTGTGCCAGCAAACGCTTCTGTCGAGAATCCTTAGTAGTTGTGAAGATATTTCTTATTGATCAACATACAAAGGCGTTGCCTTATATACAGGATAATCTTAGGTTGCATGTTTAACCTATTATCTATACACGTTATAGCCCAATATGCCCAAGACCCCCCTTCAAGGTAGAGTGTGGAGATTACAAACACCCAGCTTGCTAAGAATAGCCTTAAATTCTTTGTGCTCAAGTGCTTTCGTGAGAATATCCGCCAGTTGCGATTTGGTTGAAACATGTTTGGTAGCAATGGTGCTTCAGATGATCCCGTCTCGAATGAAATGACAGTCCATACCAACATATTTGGTTCGAGCATGAAAAACCGGGTTCTTAACGAGATTGATTGCAGACAAGCTGTCTGAATGGAGAACTGTAGGAGCACGACAGTTAATACCAAGAGCATGAAGCAACTGTCGAAGCCAAAGGATTTCGGTGACTGTATCCGCCATAGCGTGTTTGCGTGTTTTCTAAGATATTGGTGAATCACCAAGCTGAATGAACCACTCCGTTAAAGAGCGTTGTGTAAGAGGACAAGCACCCTAGTCTGCATCACACCAAGCTGAGAGAGTCAATTTTGTGTTGGCTTTGAGCAGAATACCTTGCCCTAGACTGTTCTTTAAGTATTTGACAACTCGAAGTGCAGCTTCCCAATGAGCCACCTTTAGATTATTCATGAATTGAGAAAGTACATGAATAACATAAGAGAGTTCAGGACGAGTGGTATCCAAGTGAATCAGACGACCAATCAAACGCCTATAACGGAAAAGTTCAGACATATCTTCGCCATCCGCTAAAGCAAGTTTATGGTTTTTTTCAAGTGGAAAAGTAACAGGTTGTGCCCCGAGAAGTCCTGTTGCGGAGATTATATCAACTGCATATTTCCGCTGACAGAGATAGATACCACTTGGACCGCGAGCCACTTCGATTCCTAAGAAGTATCATAAATCTCTCAAGTTCTTCATCTGAAAACAAGAACTCAAATATGTTTTGAAAGACTCGATGACAAGAACAGAGTTTCCTGCAATAACAAGATCATCGACATATACTAGAACGTGTAACTGATTACCATCCTTTTTGAATGTGAAGAGTGAGTAATCATTGTTGTTCTTGGGGAACCCGTATTTTGCCATAGCCGTAGCAAGCTTAGCGAACCAGCATCGAGGAGCCTGTTTCAATCTGTAAAGCGAGTTCCAGAGACGATAAACTCTGCGTTTATCCTCTGTTCTGAAACCCTAAGGGAATTTCATATAAACCTCTTCATTGAGATCACCATGGAGAAAGACATTATGGACATCTATTTGGTGAACTTCCCAATTATTAGAAGCAACTTGCTGAAGAAAAGCTCGAATAGTAACCATCTTCGTGCCAGGTGTGTATGTTTCATTGAAGTCGCCACCTTCAATCTGGTTGTTTCTGAGAACCACTAGACGTGCTTTATGTCTCTCAAGAGTACCGTCCGAGTTAACTTCAGCCGAAAGACCCATTTGCAGCCAAGAGCCTTCTTCCCTTGAGGTAAATCTTCAACTATCCAAGTGCCTTGACCTTCCAAAGAAACAATTACGTCACCAACCGAAAAACACCATTTTTCATCTTGAATAGCATATTTGTAGTGTTTGGGTTCAACTTGGGAAGTAATAGCAAGGATATACTGTTGGTAAGAATCTGAGAATTGTGCGCTGGACAGATAATTATCAACCAGATAAGGTGTTACAGAAGGATACAGCTGAAGAGGAAAAGTATTAACATAATCCTTAAATTTAACAGACCGTTGGCGAATCCGCAAACCACGTCCAAGATCCTCTTCATCTGTTGCAGTATCATCGGAGGAAGGACATGCATGACTATCGTCCTTTGGATCAGATTCATGAACTACATTCTCTGGATTGGATTCGTGAATAGCATTCTCTGGATCAGAATCGTGAGTAAGACTCTCGGTATCAGGAAGATCAATCGATGGTGACTCAACTGCTGTAGGAGTAACAACTGAATCGAGAGGTTGAGACAAGTTATGAAGTGGTGAAGAAACAAAGGAGAAGTGTGACAGAGGAGTAGTACTCAGAGGAGACGAAGCTTGGCTGATGTCAGAAGATGGAGCCGTTGTTGTCATGCACGAAGTAGGCAACTGAAACGGATTGTCAAGTTCGAAAAAGGAGCACTAGACAACTCTGACATACCTGACGGAAAAGATGTGAGCTCCTTGTCAGTAAAACGGAAATTTATTTTCGCAGAAAATAACATCCCGAGACACAGTAATCATGCCTGTTTCGAGATTATAGATACGCCAGCCTTTCTTCCCGAAAGGGTAGCCGAGAAACACTGATTTCTGAGTACGACTTGCGAATATATCCCCGCCATGCTTTTGGTTGTGAGCATAACAAAGGCAGCCAAAGACACGAAGGTGATTCAACGGAGGAAGCTTCTTGTAAAGGAGCTCATAAGGTGTCTTCCCATTCTAAACTGCAGAGGGTGTGCGATTGATCAGATATCCAGCAGCTAAAGCACAGTAACTCCAAAACGGAACTGGTAAATTGGCTTGGAATCGAAGTGCTCGAGCTACATTGAGAATATGACGATGTTTTCGCTCTACTCGTTCATTATGCTGTGGATTTCCAACACAAGACGTTCATGGATGATGCATTTGTCTCTGAAATAATAAGTCAAACAAATAAATTATGTACCGTTATCCGAATGAATCTTTTGAACTTGAGTTTGAAACTATCGTTTGACTAAGGCCACAAAATTTTTCAGATGAGTTGGTGCAGTGTGTTTATTTGGCAAGAAATAGATCCAAAGAGCACGAGAGAAGTCGTCTAAGATTGTGAGAAAATACTTAAAGCCGCAAATGGATGTAGTTCGGTATGGCCCCCATAAATAACAATGGATTAGCTCGAAAATTGTACATAATTTATTAATGCTGAATGGAAAGGAATCTTTTGTTTGCTTAGCACGGATACAAACTTTGCATGCTTGAGAATCTAAAACACTACTACTTAAATATGAAAAATTCAATAACTCCAAAGCCTTCGAAGATGGGTGTCCTAAGCGGCTATGCCAAAGCTCCAACGAAGGTTGGTTTGAACCTTGTATCACCACTGCAACGTCCATTCTCCGAAAAAAAATACAGACCATTCAACTGCTCACCTGCTCCAATCAGAATCCGTGTGTTGCATTCCTGAACAACAGAGGAAGAAGTGACTGATTTTCCTGACGAGGGAGAGATACTAGTTACTAGAAGAGTACTCAGCACCTTGTTTGATTCAGAAACACTTCAACGGGAGAACATCTTCCACACACGTTGCACCGTAAACACTAGGGTATGTAGTCTGATCATAGATGGTGGTTCGTGTACTAACGTGGCTAGTAAGTATCTTGTAGATAAGCTAGGGCTCAAGAAGACAAAGCACCCGAGGCCCTATAGACTCAAATCGCTGAATGACGAGACTGAGCTGAAGATAGGGGAACAAGTACTTGTACCTTTCAGCATTGGCACTTATGGAGATCAGGTTCTATGCGATGTTGTTCCTATGCAAGCCGGCCACATTCTACTTGGCAGGCCGTGGCAGTTTGATAAAGAGATGCTACACAACGGCAGAACCAACTTCTACAGCTTCTCTCACAACAAGAAGAAGCATAGCCTTGCTCCGCTTACCCCTCAAGAAGTCTTTACCCTCCAAAAGGCTATGGACAAAGGAGCTAAGGTAAGTAAGACTAGCCTATACGTTACTCCTAGTAATGTTTTAAAGGCTTTAGAATCCAAAACGCAGGTACTACTCATGATCTTTAGAGAAGGGTTATTTTCAGGTCAAGAGGAGAATGCTTTACCCGCCGAGATGAATGAGCTTTTGGAGAAGTTCAAAGATGTCTTCCCTGATGAGATAACCGCCGGTTTACCACCCATCCGAGGCATTGAGCACCAGATAGACCTTATACCCGGAGCACCTCTACCCAACCGGCCAGCTTATAGAGTTAACCCGGAGGAAGCAAAGGAGCTAGAAGCAAAAATTCAAGACCTTATGTCTAAAGGTTACATCTGAGAGAGCTTGAGTCCTTGCGCTGTACCAGTCTTGTTAGTGCCAAAGAAGGACGGGTCATGGAGGATGTGTGTAGACTGCGGATCTATAAACAACATCACCATCAAGAATAGGCACCCCATTCCCCGGCTAGACGATATGTTAGATGAGTTGAGTGGAGCTACAATCTTTTCAAAGGTTGATCTCAAGAGTGGCTACCACCAAGTCAGAATGAAAGAGGGCGACGAGTGGAAAACAGCCTTCAAGACCAAGAGAGGCCAATACGAGTGGTTAGTAATGCCCTTCGGTCTCACCAATGCCCCGAGTACATTCATGAGGCTTATGAATCATGTACTACGAGCATACATATGTAAGTCAGTAGTTGTGTATTTTGATGACATTCTGATCTATAGCTCTAGTTTAGATGATCATCTTAAACATATTGAGCAAGTGCTAGAAACGTTAAGGTTAGAGGGATTATATGCAAACTTAAAGAAATGTACCTTTTACACTGATCAGTTAGTGTTTTTAGGCTTTGTAGTAAGTTCACAGGGGCTTAAAGTGGATGAGGAGAAGATTAAGGCGATTCAGGAATGGCCAACCCCCTCCACCATCGGTCATGTCAGGAGCTTCCACGGTTTAGCCAGCTTCTATAGGAGATTCGTGAAAGATTGCAGCACCATTGCCACCCCCTTAACCTTGGTGATCAAGATGAATGTAGCATTCTCATGGGGAGAAGCGCAGGAGCTAGCGTTTCAAAGGCTTAAGGATAGCCTTACACATGCGCCTGTTTTGGCATTATCTAACTTTAACCAAATGTTTGAAGTTGAATATGATGCCTCTGGTACAGGAATTGGAGCTGTTCTTACTCAAGGAGGGAGGTCCGTGGCTTTCTTCAGTGAAAAACTCAATGGACCCGCCCTTAACTACCCTACCTATGACAAAGAACTATATGCTCTAGTAAGGTCTCTTGAAACTTTGTAGCATTACGTTTTATCTAAAGAGTTTGTTATTCATATAGATCATGAGACCCTCAAGTACTTGAGAGGACAAACTACTTTGAAAAAGAGCCATGCTAGATGGCTTGAGTT